TTATCACCTGACATCATCTGTTGGTAGAGTTGGTTGATATGAATGACACCATCACAAAGTACTTGCGTTACCCACGAACCAATTGCGTTGATAGTCAGGTACATGAAACCACCAATCAGTATCAAGTATCAAGCAGCTAATTCAATAATACAGATCACAATTTTTTCATATCATAAATTTGACATGGGTTGACAATCATTAAAACCAAGAAGCAATACAAAATTACCTCCCCACAAGTTGAATGACTTACTCACCAAAAATAAGCAAGTCATTCATAAATATATAAAGATACCGGAGGATACACTAAGATGACATCAGATTAGTTTTCATTGGTACTTACCATGAAAGAGAATGATGGCAACTGTCTGCCTAGAGAGGGAAGTCTTTCAGCTCGCATGGGAAGCCTCTGCAGGAAGAAAAGATGCAATTTTAATGAATACAATAAACCATTTGGTGAATACTATAAATCTAACTGAGAACTATATTTACATGTACATCTGCCCATGGAGTCACGAAATGACCAAATCTAACAGAGGTCTCATCAAGGTACATATACACTAAGTATCAAAGCAATCAGGCTTGTAGATTTCAAGAAGAAGTCAAAAAAAGCTGATGACAAACTATCACTAATATAAGCTCCACTCAGTAAAGTCAACAAGGAAGCTAAAAATATATAGAACAGATGCATTTATAACTGTGATGTCACTGATTGTCATTTTTCAGGCAATAAACTTCTTTTGGATTTACAACTAATCACAGTAACATCACAGAAATGTCACAGCAGTTCGTTATAAATATGTTTGACACACTGTTCTACATTGCCAGTTCTATTTTTAGTAAAATTTTGAGACAATTGATAGATAGAGGCCCCAATGCATCATATATAACAATGTTTAAATTACATTGTTTTGTTCACTAAAAATGTTAACATGTGCTGTATTGACTTTCATTTTTAAAGGTCAAACATCCAGAACATTATTTCTTACCTGTGCTGCTTGCTGAGTCGACAATTCTTGGCTTGATTCATGTTGTTGTTGTTGTTGTTGCTGCTGGGGAGATGGTTGTTCTTGAGACGCTGGTGGCTGTTGTTGTTCCTGTTCAGGAGGCACAACATGTATTTGTATATTTGGAGTCTGTTGCATGGTTACACCAATGTGAGTTTGCTGAGCACTGATTTGTACGTTACTTGGCGGTTCTTGCTGCTGTTCTAAAGGCTGAGATTCCATTTCAACTTGACTGTTTTGATCGTCATCATCTGCAATGATTCCCAATAAAAAACAAATTATAAAGTGTTCCAACTAAGTCGAAAAATCCATTTAAATGGGGGAGAGTCATCACCTGCACATTCAGCAGAGGCTATAGCATGCCTATACATAAGCTTGAGCACCCATGAGTGCACAGGTGACAATCCCACCACTTAAGGGTTTGAAAATCACATATTATATGATTTCTACGGCCATATACCGTACTATATGCACAGGGATTGCGCTAGTGTCTCGGCAAAACAAGTTCCACTTACAAAATTTTAAGAAATTGAAATTTGACCCTGGATAAATTTATTAGAGATTTGACCCCTGCTTGCTTGGAAAACAGGGTCCCTCTTCAATAATTGGAGTTCAGGAAGCAAAATATGGGGTTAACGCAATTCCTGCTCCATTAATTTGGTAGAAAAAAATATTCAAACCAGTTGCTGGAGAATAAAAGGGAAAATCTTTTTAAACCATTTAGATTGAGTGTGTACAAGTTTGGCTACATTTGGTGAACAAAATCTGCAGAGTTGGAGAATTTCTTATTAAAATAATAAATCAGTGGCTTGATACTGTTTTAAATCCCTTTCATTTTATTGCTTGTCCTATACCGCAGACTATTTTGTAGAATTGGTATTAAAATACTATTGAAGTCACTGTCAAATTACTAAGAAAGTCATAAATTGAGAGGATTCACAAGTTGTTGCACTGGTAAAATCACAAAATTATATACCAATAATCTCGACCACATCACTGTCTTCATCTTGTGCTTCTTCCATCTGTTCATGTTCTACATCATCAATCTGTTCCTCCATATCTTCTTCCCCATCTACTTCCTCTCCATCATCTTCCATCTCAGCTTCTTCAACTTCGTACTCATCACCGACCTGAAGTTTAAACATGCCAATTGACAGAAGTGCTCAACCACAGGAAAACGAGGACAGACTTGTCACAGGCAATTGTCATTGAACTCCTAAAGTAATGGCACTACCAATGCCCACCCTAATGCTAACACAGAGGACCATGTACTACTGAATTTGACTGACTGAAGTGATACATGCATGTACCATGGCACTACCAATGTATTGTATAGCGGTTTTAAAATGTTAAAGAAAGGGAGTCGTCACCTGCGCATGCGTCAGATGGCCATAGCGTGTCATTGATTACAAACAAGCATCTACCCATGAGCCTTTGCATTTTTAGTGTGCGTTGTTATTGTTGCTTGGGATTCAATTCCCACATGTACACAGGCGATGACCCTCTCGCTTTGATCAACATATGTTACCACAATAACAGTATTCGATAAGTTAAGACTTACATCATATCCTTGTTCAATTTCCTCAGCTTCTTCATCGTACACTCCATACTCCTCCTCCTCTTCTCCTTCCCCTTCGTACCCTTCCCCTTCCTCCTCCTCGACTTCTTCTTCTTCGTCCTCATCCACTCCCTCAATGACCTCATACTGCTCTTCTCCTTCCTGGATCGAAAAAACAAAACTTGTGTCATAAGGAACATTAATTATTTCAGAGCGCCCTCCAAGGTTACTGACTGCCCCTTACCAGGGTTAATGAGATGTTTTTTTGGTGGATAAGAAAAACAAAAGCTTGAACTTAATTCTACAAGTAGGCTATATACATTTTGATGCAAGTTTCAGTCTTCAATAAATTACATTGACATTAAATAACTTTCCAACTAAATTTTGTTCACAATCCATCACTGAAAACTTGACATAATTCGAACATAATTTCTATCGACTGTCAGTTTTGATCAAATTTTTCAGAAAAAACAATGATAGTTTTGTCTTCATCTTCTTGACTGCCTACCTGGTACTGCTCAACATCCGAACCACTATCTACAACAATCACAACATCATCATCTTCCTCTTCTTCCCCTTCTTCTTCCTCCTCTTCCTCATGTGCCACATCATCTGCCTCAACTTCTTGTTTGTCACTCTGCGTTGCTGTGGCAACATTATCTGCCACGTCCTCTGGATATTCCTGTGGTTCGCCCACAGCAGAGTCACCAGGTATAGACTGGCTTTGGGACTCAGTTGGTTCCACACCACTTGCTTCATTGGGTTGAACCACAACTGGTTCTTGCTGCATAACACAAAAGATACAATGAAATTATAGTAAAAAATTGTTTTTCAATGATTGTCTTTTAGTACGCTCAAACACTTTAGATGTCAATCAACTTGTTTCTGAACTACAGTGACCCCTCTCTAATTTTCGTCTCAGTAAGCCAGTCATGATATCGTCTCGGGTAACTGGATGACTCTCAACAAATTTGATTGTATTTTTTAGGGATAGTTTTGAAAAGGCAATGATTTGTTACTACATGTATTTAATTTGCATAAAAGTTGGTGTGAGCCAATCAGTGTCGATGTTTTTCAAACCATGTTTAAGTCATTTAACACTAATTGCCCTGTTGAATACTGGGATACAAAAACGTGTAAGCTGCTTGATTCAAGTTGTCAACTTATGATGCGTTTCTCAGTCAGTACCTGCTTAGATAAATCCCTATAAAAGTCACTGCAATGCTAACAACCTATCATGCTGAGCAGCATGTCTAAGAACAAGCAGCCGGTCGGCTGAGATAGCTCCACTGTTAGCAATGCACATTTCAATTAAAGAACAGAAGATATCATTAGAAAATGAACAAATATGAGAGAGGTCCACATGTAGTACCTATATATGTAATATCAAAGCAATTGGACTTGCGGTTTTAACAAGAAGTCGAAAATATCACTTTTTACCAAAAATGACAAAAATATTCACCAAAATTAGAGAATTAAAGATATCATTACAAAATGAACAAATCTGAGAGAGGTCCATGTATAGTACCTATATATGTAATATCAAAACAATTGGACTTGCGGTTTTTAACAAGAAGTCGAAAATATTCAAAAATATTCACCAAAATTAGAGAATTGAAGTCGACAGCGGAGCTAAAAAGTTGGCCATGCTTGTCTGTGCTTGATAGGCTTGATTGGCAAGTGGTGTTTTTGTTTGGATCTACCCACAATATAGAGAGGGGTCACGGTTTTACGTTACTTATACAGCTTTCAATATCATTTGTTGAGTTACTTAATTATGAATACTGATTTGAATACTTCCTTGGACTGAGGACAGAAAACATCACTCAATTATGCTGGCTTATTTTCTATAGATTACACTGTCTACAGGCACACATACCTCATCAATTGCAGTTATTCTCTGTTTTTTCTCATCTGGTGGTGTAGCAGCTCTGTCTTCAGCATCTGCTCTGGATTAATGAACAAAATAGAACATTTAAAAATTCAAAGAGAATAATGGAATACACCTTTCTTATCCTTTATTTTGGCATAAATACTTTTTTAACCCAATTCATCCCATCCAATCCCATCCCATCCCAATATTCTTCCCATTCCATTTCAACCGGGCCCTCCAAACTCACCATAATTTGTCCCATCTGACACCTTTCCATGTCATGCCATCCCAACCCATCCGAATACTTCTCATCTTATACCTTTCCATCACACCCCAACTCAAACCGAATTCTTCCCATTCCATCCCAGCCCTTCTCAACTCATCACAATCTGCCCCATCTGACATATTTCCATGCCATTCCAACCCATCGAAATCCTTCTCACCTACCAATTTTCTATCCCATCCAAACCCCTCTTCCCATTCCATACCGATCCTTCCAACTCATCACAATCTGCCCCATCTGACATATTTCCATGCCATTCCAACCCATCGAAATCCTTCTCACCTACCAATTTTCTATTCCATCCAAACCCCTCTTCCCATTCCAACACTTTCCATTCCATACCGATCCTTCCAACTCATCACAATCTGCCCCATCTGACATATTTCCATGCCATTCCAACCCATCCAAATCCTTCTCACCTACCAATTTTCTATCCCATCCAAACCCTCCTTTCCTTCCCATTCCAATTCTTCCTATTCCATCCAAACCCTTTTCAACTCGTCCCAATCTGTCCCATCTGACGCCTTTCCATACCATGCCATCCCTACCCATCCCACCCCATCTCATCTGACACCTTCCCATGCCATCCCATCCAAACCCACCCCATCCATTCTCATCTGACACCCTCAATTGTCATTCCGACTTTTCCAACTAATCCCAAATCCTTCCCACTCCAACCCTTCTCATCCAAATTGTTTACATCTTAGAGATAACCACATTTTGATTTCTTTTATCTTCCACTGAACTTACTCTTCAAATTCCTCCCGAGTTCTTTTCACTGGGACTGTAACAGCTGTGACTGAAGATGTTGGCACTGGTGCTGGTTCTGTTGGCTCTGGTTGTGAGCTTGGCTCCTCTGTTATTATAATCTCAGGTAAGACAGGAGTTTCTGTGCAAAAAGAACAAGTCTGTGAACTCACTGCTTTTACTATAAAATGAGCAAACACTAATGCAGTGATAAATAGCAATAAATATTCATAGATGCTGGAAGGAAAAAGACTTGATATGCGATCCTATAATAAGTTGTCACTCCTCTTTCCCATCATTTCTACTGTTCCCCTAATCGATGTAAGCAGGGTATGTAAAAAACGGATGCGGTGACAGAAGAGAATGAACACTATTTGAGAGACAAAAACAAGTCTTGTTGCCTCCTCACTTTTAACCATTTGCATCAAAAGACAATTTATTACCTTGTTCTTCCACTGTTGGTTCTTGTGGCTGTTGCATCTCTGCCTCTACTGATGACTGTATCTCAGGTTCTGGTACCGAATCTGTCATAACTTCTCCCTGTTCTGGTGCTGGCTGTGGTTCACTGATTGGCGGCGTTTGTTGAGTTGGCTGTACAGCTTGTACTGGAGCTTGTAATGGTATGACTACAATAGGCGTATCACTCGGCACTGACTCTGTGATTTCTAGATTGCAAACAGAATTTGATCAACGGCAATACACTTACTGCCCATGTGGAATTAAAGCGGGAGGGTCGTCACCTGCGAATGCGTGGGAATTGAGTCCCAAGCGACAATAACAACACACGTTAAAAATGCAAAGGCTCATGGGTATATGACGCATGCGCAGGTGACAACTCCCCTGCTTTAACCCTATGAAAGCCACAAATATTATATTTATTTTTTTATAATTTCTTTGCTAATTTTGAAATGATGAACATAATATTGGTTATACATCTTAAAATTAAAAGATGCAGAAAAAATAAGATAATTTTTTGGGATGTACACATGGGTTTAAATTAGCAGATTTTACTTATTTGCAAAAATAGCATAACTGAAAACAAGCGAATAATAAACAGAACTTTTAGATGGATTTCTTCATGCAGTCTAGGCACAGTTTACAATTTTAAATACTACAAAGGTCATTTCGGTTCTGATTTATTGGCTTAAAAAAAAACAAAAAACAGATTTTCCTTGAAGTATAAAATATAATAATAAAATTTCAAAAAATACCTTGTGAAGTTTCAGATTGTGAAACTGACGAAGTTGGCATCACGGTAGCCATTCGTGTTTGCGGGACAGCCGTGACGACGGGTACACTAGCTGGCGTTATAGCCATGGGTCGAATACTTGCTGTTACTTTAGCCTGTCCACTGGTAGACGGGGTCGGTTTAGTTGCGGTGCTAGGACTGGGCGTCGCCATAGGTTTGATATTGGCCGTTGGTGGAGGTTCTTCACGCGTGGCACTGTAAGGGGGAATGATCAAATGTGTAACAATTACACACTTGTATAGAAATATTGTATTTGCCCTAATAGTAGCTAATGTAAATTACAGGTGTGTTTCTATAGATTACTAATTCAGTGTCTTATTTTATTAGAGATACGCTCCTAATCGAGCAAATACAGTACCCGTGTTCAATTTTCTTAAATATCATCCCTTTTGACTTTCTGGCACAATGTATAATTTTGAACCAAACATACTTTTATAAGTTCCTATATTCCAATAGTTCCTACTATTATAACAGTTTATTTTGATTTTGTAATAGTTGCTAAAAAAAATTTAAATCCTCAATGGTCAGAAGGCTTGTTTTTACTTGATTTGATTCAATAGTTACAATATCTGGTGAGAATCTCAGACAATCTTAATAGAAAATGCTTCACATCAAGTATTTATTTTGGGGAATAGTCTATTATTGATCATCAAACCGTGAATTGCATGTTTCATACACAATGTTTTGATGGCAAACTTTGATGCTAAAAACACAACCGAATTTACGAAAGTTTATCTACTGAAAAACTCTTGACACACATATCTTAATTGCAAATTATGTAATTGTTACATTTAGTATATTATGTATACATGTATTACATTACAAACAAGCCATGCATGGCACAGTCCCATTCGGCCATCTTCAATCAGATCCTGAAACAAATTGATGTGCATATGTATGATATCATGCATGATGGACGTGTGAAGTTTCATTGTGATTGGTCCAGGCATTTCTAGGATACAGATCCCGACACGTGCACGCACAGAAGCACTTTAGCAGACAAACGGAGGTCAAAACATAAGTCCCCGTTTTCGGAGACTAATAAAACTTATCAGTATCAAAACCAACCTTGGCCTTTCAGTTGCCTGTACTACCTGCTGAGGAGGTGGCTGTTGTTGTTGTTGCTGCTGCTGCTGTTGCTGTTGTGCCTGCAACTGCTTCTGCTGTTCTTCAAGTTGTTTTTGCAGTTCTAGAACCTGGGAAAGATGATGCATTATGTATAGTCAGTTTGAAAATGTGAAAGGAGAATTGAAACTAGCATAATTTAACCAAAATGAACAAATCTGACAGACGTTCACTCAAGATATCAATTTGAAAGCAATTTCGATGGTAGTTTTCAAAAAGATGAAATTGTAATTGCGAGAAACCATATAATCTCTAGACACATGTGACTGAAATTATTCGCTTACGCTTACTTGCATTTTATAACAATTTACCGGTAGCGAATTTATATTTGGTACATTATTATAATCACTACTGAGTAATAATCAACAATTGCAACACATCAAAAACAAGTAAACTATTCACTTGTGAAATGCAGCATGACCGGATTGCGCTATGAATTCGTGTTTGTTTTTATTTGAAACTTCTTTTAGAACAACTTTTCGTTAGCAACAAAAGTAAAAATAAATAAATGCATAATATTATTGATATTATTAAATGCATAATATTATTGATATTATTAAATGCATATTATTATATTGAGTATTTTTTTTTATCATGTGAACAGTTTTTTTGATTGACTGTAAATTTTCAACATTTTGTGACGCCTATTTCAGAGCCAAATTAAGGCTCTCACACTTCCCTGACACGTAAATTGGACTGACGCCTATTCAAAAGTTTATACGGTAGAGTTTATGAATGATGACGGACAATCACCTATATGAACAGCTCCATTCTATCAGAATGATGACAGCAGAGCTAGTCCATGGATATTGATGACTCATTTAATTGTGAACTTACAGACAGAATGAGCTCAAAAGTCAACATTTTTGTTACATTAAAAAAATATTTAAAGAAAAAAGGTTTATTTTCTAGAAGTTAACTACTGTAAAGAGGTTAATTATTAACTGGGTTTTAATTTTGCTTATTTCGCTGACTGGAAAAGGTGCTCAATTAAAACCCAGCAAATATGGAAAAT